AACACCGGGCTTTGTAACACTACAACAAAGCTTCGTCTTCAAAAGCTTTGAAAAATTCAGGGAAAAAAAAAAAAATTGAAGCAAAAATTACACCCTCAACAAGTCTGGATAACAATTTATGAACCTGCTGGCTTTTTCTTGCGTTTTTTGGCAGTCTTTGCAAGAGCATCGCATATCTCTCGTTTACGTTTGGAGATTATATTGTTATCCTGCTCGTCAGCAGCATTCGCAGCATTCATGTTATTTTTCTCAATCTCATTTCGAGCCTTTAGCACATCCTTCACAAAAAACTTCAGCCTCCACAAAGTCGATTCACTCTGAACATAAAGAGAAAAAAAAAAAAATTGAAAATACAGAGTACAGAAAAAACTGAAGTGTATACAATCTTCAAATATATTGAAAAGAATAATTATTAGTTAGATTGTGCTACAGTTCTTCTGCTAACGAACCTGAGCATTTATGTCGAGCTCGACCTCTTCGGAATTGGCTTGGAAGTTGGGGTTATTTTGAGCTACAATATCGAGTGCCTTGCTAAGGTCTTCAGGGCATAATTTGGAGAGGGCAGCCCCTAGCTTTCTTTTCTCCAAGGTAGATATATGTCTAGAAATTTTTTCCACAGTTAGCATTGAATCGAGGAAAGTATGATAAACGGCATAATCTTTACTCGGTAATTTTCAGATTAATTCACAGAAACTATTCTTTAAAAATAGTTTCTCTTTAAAAATTTACATGGCCAGAGCAAAAGGATGTATCAATTCTATGTGCATGCTAACTTTCATTAAATGAAACTTCATAAAACCTTCTCTATTTGGAATCTCTCACTGATTATTAAAGCGATCATCTCGTTTGACCAGATACTAAGGTCAAGGCTACATAGAAATGTCATATAAACTAGTTCAAGTTCAAAATGATAAAAAGGGGAATATATAAGTAGGATCTGAACTGTAGTTGCAGTGAGATCATGTGAATACAACTACTCCAGTGCTAGTAACATCTTACTTTTCGGACACCCTTACATTATACTTAATTTTACTACAAGATAGTTCAGGAGTAATAAAATTGAACTGTGATATTTATTTGACACTCTAGCTTAAAAAAAAATTACAACTTATTTACTGTAGCATTTATTAAAATGTAAGCAAGTTGAAATGCTACGGAAAGCTAGCTTGAACGGTTCTTCTGAAAGTAGTCTTTACAAATCCAAATGTTTGAAACTTTGAAAGAACCTCCTAAAATGCGTTAAAGATCTTTTCATCTGTTTACCCAAGGCCATCAATAAACCTAAATCTGGTATGAGATATTAACACAAATAGGGTGTAAACCAAATTTGGAACTTAAACTAACCTGCAATTCTTTACCACCGTTTCCCTGAGCTCTTCTATATACAGATCAATGTCATAAAGCTGAAAACAGATTGAAGATAAAATATCAAACACTAAAAGTCTACAACTCCTTCAGGTGACTTCTTTTTAGTACCAAAAAAGAAAAGAAAGACGAGAAATAGAGTTTGTATCACACCTCATTACTGATATCCCTGGCCAATTTAGCATGAGCAGCCTCTTGAGCTAGCTGCAAGTTCATTTGTGCTTCGGCTTCCTCCTCTTCTCGTATTCTTTCCTGTAAATAATATAAAAGTTTCCGTCAGTACAAATCTCCATAAAATTTGATGTGCCAGTTGTTCCAAAAAGTGATCAGAGATGGATAAAGTGCCAACCAAATCCACAAGGCAGATTCACAAAAAGTCAATATTTTTTCAGGAACTGAACCCAGATGCAGACACACTCTCTCTCTCACACACACACACTATATTATCCATAAATGAAAATTCTAGCCAGCCATCAATCTTTAAAGTTTACCTCTTCTGCAACTTTTGGCAAGAACTGCAGCCACTTCTCCTCAAATTTCTCCAGTAAAGATTTTGCCATGACATGGACATCGCTTTTCTCATCATTATACTTCATCGCATTTTTAAAGACCAAGCGTACATCAGAACATATCTCGCGCACGTGCTTATAACCAGTACCATCCCTGGCTTCCATTTGATTCTTTATTGTACTGAAATCCATGGGTCTGTCAATAATCTGATAGATCATTTCCAAAGAATCAGTTCATGATACACCCGAACCCCTAAGGTAGCACTTCTTCCAAAAAAATTTACCATAAAATAAAGTTGCCCACGAGTATTTTCTAGTAATTCATGGATTATTTATTATAAATATGACAAGCTCTAGGTTGGGGAAATTAATATTGTAGATAAAAGACCTAGCATTAATTTTTCTTCAGAATGGAACTTATTTGTTTTGGGCACCATGCACACTTCACTCTTCTATGAAGGGATGAGAACTCCAATTTCGCACCATATAATTGAGAAGACAACCACAAAATCAATTGGATGACACATGGTCATCCAGCATTTGCTACCAAATGAGTCAAGGATTATGATATAATATGTCTCCACCTTACATTACATTTTCTTTATCTATCCTATTTTTAGTATATACTGAAGGAGAGAAGAGCAAGTATTCCAATCACATGCATTAATAACCACATTTAGTTTGATGTAGCCAAAAGACAATGGGCAAAATACCAGCAAACAAGCAACAAGTTGTACCTGATAGTAATCATGCAAACCAAGTCCTTCAACATCTACTGGTTGCATAAAAGGCCATGCCCACTTGTGTTGTGTCATCTATAACACGAAAAATAGTAAATGATTATTGCTTCACGTTAGATGATGATATTTAACTGAAGAAAGTTTCCAAACTAAACAGCAGCATAAGATATCCTTATAATAGAATGGAACACACACTTTCTCAAATTGCTTGGCCGATCATTAAGCATAGCTAACACGGGGAAACATAGAACAAAAGCCCATGATAAGGGCACGTAAAACAAGCTCACGCAGAAATAGTTTTCATTTGATGTTCTGGTCCAGTGAAAATGAGCCACATTACTAGAGAACTCATGAGTTGAGCACATGAATTAGAAAAATACATAAAAGCAGCATTCAAGCTCAGAAAATACAAATCAAACGGAATGAAATGCCATCGTAATACATGTCAAACAGTGCAATGTGTAAAGTAGTTAAACTTAATTCAATGGACTTGCCTGACGAAATACAGTACCAAACTGGCGCATAAGCTCTTGCATTCTCTTAGCAGCGGCAGCCTCTCTGCGTGAAGCATCCTGCTGTAGCTTCTTCATGCTGGGAATATGTTTCTCCTTTTCTTTGTCCTTGGAACTTGAAGCATTTTTGGAAGTGTTTGAATCATTTAATCGTGAGTAAAATTGTTCAACTTCATTCACTCTTTGCTCAAGCTGCAAATCAGACGAGATTACAGTACATGTATGAATACAGTGGCTGTTGCATTTACCTTAATTTGGACTGTTGGAATTGAGTAAAAGTTTACCTTGCCAACCTTCGCAAAAAGTTCATCAACTTTATTCTTATAATCATCAACTTGAGCTGTATTTCCATCTGTGGTCCTCTGTGCCATATCTGCAGTGTCCTCGTTTGGTACATATACCAAATCCATCTAAGTGATCCAACACATAATAAAGAACCAAATGAGTTTCATAACCATTACCGTCAATCACTGGTGTAAGGCCTTCGCTGGCAAAAGACTCAAGAGAAATATATGCACTAGCGAATAAAATGCCAGAGAGGAATATAAATATTTACATTGATCATATGCAATGAGAGCTCAGCAATCACTTGCACTAATCACTTGTCATTCTTTCCCCTAATCAGTTTTTGTTCGTCTTTCTTTAATCTTTTAATCTTTCACCGTAGCTAAAGTATATTCTAAAACCATGAGTCATGGTACAAGCCTCTTACAAAGAAATAGTCCATGATCTACCAAAAAATAACAGTACAAACACTGAAAAACCACATCAATGATATAATTCCTGTTCTCTAATGGCAAAATACTCAGAAATTAATTCGAAAAAGAATATAGGATTACTTGAAGAAACTCATGCCGGTCTCAATATTTGAAAATGAACACCTCCAATCCACACAAATAAGTAACTGAAATTAAAAATGAAAATCAAAATCAACAATCTATCTACGCCATTTTCCAGCTTTTGATGCACCTCACAAATAAGTAACTGAAATTAGAAATGAAAATCAAAATCAACAATCTATCTACGCCATTTTCCAGGTTTTGATGCAAAAGTGTTGAATACTCACTGAAATTGAATACTATTCGCCTTTCAACCACTGCAAGCTAACTAAATCACGGTTACTTGTTCCATAAAATTCTTCAATCTTAATCGAACTAGCTACATTCGAAGCTCAAAAACTATATATCGAATTTCAACACAACATCAAACTATCCATTCGGACTTCAGCAGAACAAAATATCTGCGCATAACTTGGAGAAGTATACACTGAATTCACAAATAATTAGAGAGAGAGAGAGAGATGCGACACCTTGTCGAGGCACTGTTGGGGCCGGCGGCCGGCCGAGACGAACAGCAAAGGCGAGCAGAAGGTAGTTTGCGGCAGTTTTAATATATACAGTCTAAAAAAAGCGTTATTTTATTAATGTTGCAATTTTAGGGGTTGTGGTGGATGAATCAAGGTTTTTACCAAGTTTTTAAATTAAACCTTCTAACACAGTAAATGAGGCAGCTGAGTTTTGTAAGATTTTAAATATTTTATGAATTTTTATATCTTGTTTGTTGATAATGGCATAAATTTCAAGTGAAAATTTTATTCTTGAATTAAGAACAAAAAAAGATTTGTCTAAAATTTTAAATAAGTCACAAAAAATACATTATTAATGATATTTAAAATAACACTGATTACTTAAACAACTTACACTTCGTACATTATTATCAATTTTCTAATTCATATTGTATCATAGACTTGATAAAGAAAAAATTATTTACTTAATAAATAATTTAATTCTTATTTAATATTGACAAATAATTAATTTTATTTTAAGGTGAAAGTATATTTTTTATATATGCATGTCAAATCAAAACTTGTAAAATTATGATTAATTTATATATATATAAATTGATAATAGAAAAATTGTTATTAATTTTTGAAATATATTATAATTTAAGTTAGCCAGTGTTTTAGAATTTTAATGATCATGGATAGAAGTTCAAGTTATACCGGTATTTAACTATTTAATTGTTCAACTGAAATTTATTCTATACTATTGTAATTGTATGTTTAAATTATTTTTGTAGATAATAAGGCGTTCGATAATTACATTTTCATGTCGACAAGGTGAGGTTTATTTTAAAAAATAATGATTACTCTACATGTCTCATATGAATATAAGGATGATTTAGTATGTGTCACGAAAATTTCAGAATCAACCAGTGGGTTGTTGATTTCTTAAAGTTCTGCGAACTAAGTCACTTGGAATAAAAGATGAGAGGACATACTAGTTATTTTATAACTTATGCAACTTATATTAATTTTAATGTACTTTGTTCAAAGGTCAGTTAGACAATATATAGTTTGGAGCTTAGGTATTATTGAAGACTTTATTACTTTCTTTCTCCACAAATCCAAGCCCAGTCTGCTAGCTAGAAGAAATTAAATAAAAAATTTTGTCTCCCCCTTCTTCTCGATCGACCTACAATAGCGTGTCACCTTTTCGGCCATGGTCGGGCCGGCGACTACATCGTTTCTTCATCATCCCATCTACTCGCATTGGTTTGGGGGATGGTCGTTGGCGGTCCTCCAGCCGCCCATCTTTCCAGCCTGGGTTGGAGCTGGTGACGGAGGCACCCGTCGGTGAGGCTTGAGGCTTCTTTGGCTTTCGATCACTACCTGGTCAAGGGGCTTTTTGGAACGCAACTCTGAGCATGAGTCTCATATTCTCGTCAGATCTGCATAACCTTTCGAGTTTGACCGGAGTTTACAACTTTGAGAGCTTTAGATTTGTTAGTCTCTCTTGGTCTTGGTTCAGTAGATTGACGTGTGTGCTTGGGACGAGTAGCAGTTGCAGAAGACCATTAAGAAGAAGAGGAGGTTGCATTTTACGTTTGTTTGTAGGCGTGTGTTATATTTTATTTTTCTTTTGTATTTTTGGTAAGTCCTGGCTGTGTGNCCTTTTTTTTTTTCAAACACAAATATTATTAAATTAAACTCAACCATAATACTACCGGTAACCAGCATGTTACAAGGAACATCCTAACTATTAAGCGACAAAGAAACGAACCATATGGGAGTTTTTTTAGCATAAGAGCTCTTCTTCAACCGGAATCAACCATAACACAAACTCCCAGGCAAACGGGACAAAACTTCATAATGGAGACTAAGCTACTCCATAAAGGAGAATAAAGTTCAACCAAGGGAGACTAATAACCAAATAAAAAGCAAAATAAAAAAGAAACAACAACTAGCAAAAAACCTAAGAAACTAGAATAAAAACTAATGCCCTCCCCGACA